AAAAGGGGCAGAGACTAGTGGCAGAGGTTGCAGTAGCCTCGGAGGCTGTGGTAGAGGCCAAGAAGGCCAATGAGGCCAAAGCGAAGGCTGTGGAGGTGATAGATACTGCTGTGGATGGCATGGTGGTCTCAGAGCCTGTGGCGGAAGCCATACTGCTTCCAGACCCTGAAGTGACCTCAGAGGCTGTGCTGGCAGCCATGTTGTTAGCAGATACTGCAATGAATGCTGTGGTGATCTCGCAGTCTGTGGAGGAGGCTGTCATGGGCACAGATACTATTACGGAGGCAGTAGGGGTCTCAGAGTTTGTGAGGGAAGCTATGGAGGTTTCAATGGCTATAGTGGTCTCAGATCTTGTAGGGGAGGCTGTGGTGGTCTCAGAGCCCATCATGGACAAAAATCCCACAGTGTGCTCAGTGGCCATCATGGAGGTAGCTGAGGGCACAGAAGCTATTGTGGACGTAGTGTGGGTCTCGGAGGCTGAGGTGGCCTCAGAGGCCATAGTGGAGGCCAAGAAGTGATGGACACAAATATTTTGAAAGAGGATATGATGGTCTCAGAGGCTGTGGAGAAGACCCCAGTAGTTTCAGAGGCTGAGGTGGGAGCTATGGTAGGCACAGAGGTTATCATCCAGGCTGCGGGAATCTCAGAATCTTCTAGAAGCCACTGTGGTCACAGACTCTGCACTGGTTCCTGAGGCTGTGGTGGAAGCCCGAGTGATCTCGGAGCATGTGGTGGTTTCAGAGGCTTTGATAAAGACTGGAGTGGGCACAGATGTTATCTTGGAGAGAGCCTGTGCTCTTGGTAGAGGCCATGGTAGGCACAGACATGCTCACGGAAGCTATGGTGTTCTGAGAGACTGTGGTGGACACGAACGCTGTAGTGGTCTCAGCAGGCATTATGGTGGCTGTGGAAGTGGCTGGAGAGGGCACAGACTCTACAGCTGTCCCAGAGGCTTTTGTGGAGACTGTAGCGGTCTCAGAGTCCGTGGTGGAGGCTGGGGGTTCTCAGAGTCCGTGGTGATTTTAGAGGCTGCAGTGAAGACTGTGGTGGGCAGAGATGTTATTGTAGAGGTCATGGTGGCCTCAGAGGCTGTGAAAGAGGCTGCAGAGGATTTAGAGGCTGTGTTGGGAACTGTGGAAGGCGTAGATGTTATCATGGAGGGTGTGGTGTTCTTGGGGATGGTGGTGGACACAGATGCTGTGGTGGCATCAGTAGGTGTTTTGGTGTCTGTGTGGAGCACAGGCTCTGCAGTTATCATGGAGGTTTGGGGAAAGTGTTATTTGAAAACCTCATCCAGCTCCCAGCAAGGTGGCTCTCACCTGTAATCCTAGCACTTCGGGAGGCCAAGGCAGGCCGATCACCTGAGACTGGGAGTTCAAAATCAGCCTAACCGGCTCTACTAAAAATACAAAAGTAGCTGGATGTGGTGGCACGTTTCTGTAATCCCAGATACTCAGGAGGCTGAGGCAGGAGAATCGCTTGAACCCAAGAGGCAGAGGTCGCAGCGAGTCGAGATCGCACCATGGAACTCCAGCCTGGGCAACAAGAGCAAAACTCCATCTCAAAAAAAAAAGAGAAATAGTCACTCAAGTATCAGTTCCTTTCTGTAGCAATGACCATGAGGCTGGGAAAGCTGTGTCAGGAGAGCTCCAGCATAGCAGGAGTGTGTGGAAGTGGCGCTGAGCTGCACTAGAACAGCTTCCAGAAGGGTTTGCCCAGCAAGACCAAGCTGCGCATCAGAGGTCAGCGACTCTCCACTTCTCAAGTACATGGGCAATGATTATGCTAAACCCAGCCCGAGTTTAGTGGTTCCAGGACAGAGAATCCAGAAGAAATCACCAGGAATGGTTGCACAAGCACATGAATGTACTTAATGATACTAAACTTTACTCTTATAAGTGGTTAAAATGTTGTATTTTATGGTATGTATATTTTATCATTGTTAAAAAATAAAAAGAAGGAAGAGGAGAAAGCAGAGGAGGGAGAAAGAAAAGGAAGAAGAATTAGAAGAAAAAGGAGGAGGAGAAGAGGAGAAGAAGGGAAAAGCAGCAGCTACACGGGCCAAGCCTGGTAGCATCACCTTCGAGGCTGCTGCTCAGGAAGGCAAACATTTGGAACTGTGCGAATATTTTGCTAGGCAAAAAGAAAAGGTCATATTCTGACATGGCATTTCGTGGACTTGGGGCTTGTATACGAGTACTCCATACTTCTTTGCATCCATGGTTTTGAATGCTGATAAAGACTCTAAGACTGGGCATGGTGGCTCATGCCTGTAATCCCAGTGCCTTTGGGAAGCCAAGGTGGGTGGACCACCTGAAGTCAGGAGTTCAAGACCAGCCTGGCCAACATGGTGAAACCCTGTCTCTACTAAAAATACAAAAAATTATCCAGGCGTGGGGTACATGCTTGTAATCCCAGCTACTCAGGAGGCTGAGGCAGGATAATTGCTTCAACCTGGGAGACAGATGTTGCAGTGAGCCAAGATTGCACCACTACACCCCAGGCCTGGGCAACAGAACAAGACTCTGTCTCAAAAAAAAAAGGACTTTAATTTTTAGTTATCAATTCCCCAAATAACCTATCTGCGTCAGCTAGATGGGAAGCATTTTTTCTTTCCATAAGAGCTTTCCTAAAACATAAGCAAGAGGTAACCGTAAATGCACTGTCAAATTTTCATACAGTTGATTTTAAAACTTATGAGCCTAATTCTAGATAAATCATATTTTAAACAAGTGAAACAATAGGTACGGACATTTCTTTTTTTTTGAGTCATGAGGGGAAGATGCAGAGCCTGTGACTATGAGGCCAGTTAATGTGTCTCCGGGGACAGGCTGGCAGGAAGGACTCTGACCCAGGACACTGGCAGTGAGGACAGAAGAAGACTCGACGTTCAAGGGGCTGGAAAGGGAGGTCTGGACTCTGGAAGAAGGGGCTGGACACCCTCGCACAAATCTTAATTACACCCTGTTCCTTAGGTGGTCCCTATAACATCCCACCCATCCAGGTGGGGCTGCCTCAGTGGCAGGGAACCTGGCTCCACTAAGGAACAAAGCGAATTTGAGGCTTGGAGAAAATAAAGCAAACCTTCTGTTCCATAGGAGCCGCGTGGGTTTCAACAGGGCGCTTCTCTGAGCCTCGGTTTCCTCATCTGTAAACAGGCCTTCTAAGGACTCGCAGGGTGATGGGAGGATCACAGGTGCGATGGAAGTGAAAGCACAGCACAAACGCGTGTCAGTTTTATGGCCAATGGCACGGCGGTGAGGGTGGCGGGGAGAAGCGACGCCCAGGCCAGGTCAGTCCGGGTGTCCCCGGGGGCTGTGGGCCGGGAGGAGGGGATTCGGCGCAGCCCGGCTGGGGCGCTGCCGGGGCGGCGGCCTCGAGCCACTAATCTGCGCTGTCAGCGAGAGAGATCGGAAGCCGCCCGCAAAGCGGAACCTCGCCGACCGAGGGAGGGTCGCAGACTCGGGGAATGGCGCCCCCGCTGCCCCTTCCCCTCTCCGCCGGGACAGCGGCTTCCGGCGCCCCGGCCGCCTCCCTGCCCTCCGGGCACGCGCCCCGCCCCCCGCCGCCCCGAGGTGTCCTCCCCGGGGGCTGAGGGAGCGCATTCCCTCTGGTCCTACTGATTAAGTAATTATCCCTAACGAGGGCCCAGCCCCGGAGCTTGTTAAAGGATTTCCGCCTAGATTTCAAAGTGATAATCAGCGGGGAATGGAGACGCCGGAAGTCGGAAGGAGACACCTGCCGCGCCCCAAGGCCCACAGTCCGCGTTTGCCAGGCGAAGAACCTCCCGATTCCCCCTTCCCATCCCCCTCTACACGCAGCCTTTGGCCTCAATGCTGCATTTTGGTGTCTTGATAGGGGAGGGGTCTGTCCGGTTTCATCTTTAGGACTCCAGGGCCAGAGGTGTTTTTATTTCGTTTTGTTTTTTAATTGGGGTCCGGGCTGAGTTTAGGGGTCTCTGCATCCCTCCCAGGGCAGAGAGACACTCCTGTCCCTGCAGATGCCACAGGCTAAGTCACCATCTGCTCAGACAACTAAAATCCAGGTATCTTCCTCCTTTTCTTGAGGGCTCTCCAGAACCCAGGTGTCCCTCTGCCTCTTTTCTCCAGGGACCTAAGTCTGGAGTCCCTCTGGCACCTGGCATGCCTCCTCTCTGAGAGCCGAGCTTCAATCTTGCCCTTGGCAGAGCGGGTCTCTGGTGGGAGATTCAGTAATATTCCCAGCCCAGCCAGGGCCAGATAGTTCAGTGACATCAGTGTCAGGGTTGAGATTACTGACCATGATAGTTTTCCAGCTTTCAGCAAATGGGGATGCCCAGAGAAGCAGATAGTGAGTGACCTGTGGCCCTGATGGTTGATTCTAGGTGGAGTTAACATTTAGAAAGCTGGCAGCAAACTGGGGTGCCTGTCCTGATAGTGACGATGCCATCCTCCTCTGGTAAGAGAGCCAAGCCTGCATGGGTAATGGGAGGTTTCTCTTGGGACTGACATGGGCACAGAATGGTTTTGCAGCAGGGCTGGTGCCCTAACATAAATAGAGGAAACACTAGATGCTCACGGATTTGGGCTTAATGAATTAGGGTGTTGTTTTATTCTGTATAGCATTACCTTGTGACAACTCTTGTTGAATTATTTAATTTTAATTTTCTTGTTTTTGTGTCTCAGGTGAAAACTATGTCTTATACTTCTTTATATCCTCCACAGAGTACATAATAGGTGCTTTAAAATACTTGCTTATTAATCGACAGATTTTTCTACTCGTTTTGTTACCATGCAAAAAAACCCAGCATGGATTGAGGCTGGCTCTTATCTAAACCCAGAAATGAGCCATTTTTGGAGCAATAGAGGTTCAGCCTCCCCTTTCTTGACCCTCCATAGATTGCCAGTGCTGTGCTCCAGCTCCTCTGGCTCTTCCTCTTCTGTAAGGTCGCAGACAGAACCAGGAACACCAGTCAGGATTTTCTCCCAATCAATAGTCTAGTAAATATGATGCCCTTTATAAACATGTCATATTCTATTATAAAAAAGGTCAATAGAGAGAAGGAGACTATCATCATATGTCCATTCTCCTTTTCCCTCTCTGCCCCAGATATAAGGTGAAATGGCCATAAGAAAGGGGAGAGAACATCCAGAAAACACACACACATGAAATGCCTACAAGGAGAAAAATTGGAATCGGGGTGAAGGTGTGAGGAGAGAGGATGGGGACGGTAGAGAAGATGGGTGACTTTTATGAGATAAATCCACAACTGGCTTTTGGTGGAAGAGACAGGAAAATAAATGCTGAGACACCATCAGGGAAGGTCTGGGATAGAGATCAGTGAGTGAGACTGCTGGTCAAACAAAGATCCCTTCCTTCTGTGTCCACCCACAACCCAGCAAGCCAAACCAACAGTGTCCACTATAGACATTAAGGAAGGCTAAGGGATTTGGGAGGAAGAGGGAACCACCATGTGGATGAGAGATACTTATAATTTCTCCTGGACTTCTTCTTTCTCCACGGAATGGAGAGAGTGGAGAAGAAAATAAGTTCTCTTTTCTTCTTGGATCCTTTTTTCTTTTTCTTTTTTTTAATTAAAAACAGGGGGGCAAGGGTCCTGAAAACTCAGAGATGAGCCTGTTATCACACAAACTCTTAAATAATAATGAATGGAAATAACGTAATTCTGTCCTGAAACCCAGAGACTCCACCTTCAGTCTCTCTCTTTCCCCATAATCCCCACTCACAAGTCAGTCTGGGACATTGCCTTCTAAGGCTCCTGTCCTTCCTTTAGGACTCAGGTTCTGTATTGCTCCCCAACCATGTCCATCAAACACCTTTTCATTCTCAGACCATTGCCTTCTACAGAGAATGACTACTTGTATTGTTCATTCTTTCTTCTCTATCCCCTAAACTTACAGCCTCCTTGCTTATCACCTCATTCCCCAACCAGTTTCAGTTAAGAACAGAGGAAGGGTTATTGTTGTTAACCATCGGTATTCTCTGCCCTTCCCAGAGTCCAGGAAATAGAAATTGTGAGTCCAGTTCCTCATCCAGGAAAGGGGCGGAGCATGGAAGAGCCGGGGCTCGGTGCCTACTCCAAGATCACCGTGGGGAAGGGATCTGGCCCATGCCAAGTGTCTGCTGCTCCATCAGGTAAACTGGGTAGGAATTGGGGCCACCCTCATCCTCTGTGTCATTGTCCCGGGTGTTCTGGGTTAGTGTGCGGCGTGTCCGCATCATATAGGAGACCTGTGATTGGGATGAGAAAGGAGGAATAAAACCACCTGTGATTTGTTTTTCTCAACACTCACCTCAGGTCTTTGATTCTATTCTCAAGATTCCATCCAAACCTTAATGTTTATTCCAGCCCCAGATCCAATACAATGAGTCCCAGCTCCATCATCAGTTTACCTCTCTACCATATTCTCCTTGTCCTTATACCTCCTATTCTCATACCCAGACTCTCCACTCCCCACACTTTCACACCCTTTCATTCTCAGTCACAGCCTTCTCCCCAATTCCAGCTTTTTATCTCCTGTGTGTTTATTGTCTTTCCCCTTAGTTTTCACCAAAATCCTCCCTTTATTACTGTTCTCCCCACTCCTGCCATGTCTCTTTTCCTAGACTCATTATTCCCTGTAACTCTGACCCCTAATGTCTCAATTCCCTATCCCATAGATTCATTTCCATGGGGTTCATCTGTCCCTTACCAAGAAGATCAGGCCAAGGAACACCAGGAGGAGAATCACAGCCACCAGGACCACAATAACTATGGCCCATGCAGGGAATGAATTATTCTCCCCCATCTGTCCAGCGTGGATACCTTTCTGTGAGCCATCTTTATTGTGGTATGGATAGCTCTCGTTGCCTGGGACTTCTGGTATGATAGAACTCAGCTTCATTCCAGATGTGATGACTGTAAAAGAACTAATGGGCACCTGATGAGTAACTTCAGTTTTATTTAGATGAGAAGACGTAGTAGTGATAGATTTGTCTCCTGTGACCTTGACTGAAGGTCTTACAGTCTTTGTTTTTTCCGAGTTTTCTGTGGACTTTACTGGGGCTTTTGTGGTCTCAGTGGCCAGTGTGGTGTTCCCTGAGTTTTCTGTAGGCTTTTCTGAGACTGGTATGTTTTTCCCTTTGGTGGATATGGTCTTCTTTGGGTATAGTGTAGGCTTTTCTGAGGCTCTTGTGGTTTTCTCTGTAGTTGATGTGGTCTTTTCTGAGTGTTCTGTGGACTTTATTGTGACTTGTGTCATCTTCTCATGGGCCAATGTGGTCCTTTCTCCATGTTCTATAGGCTCTGCTGGGGCTGGTGTGATCACATTGGCTGATATAGTTCTTTCTCTATGTTCTGTAGACTCTGCTGCAGATGGCGTGATCTTGTCACTGGGTGATGTGGTCCTTTCTCCATGTTCCGTAGGCTCTGCTGGGGATGGTGTGGTGTTCTCGTTGGCCGACGGTGTCCTCTCTCCGTGTTCCGTAGGCTCTGCTGGGGATGGTGTGGTGTTCTCGTTGGCCGACGGTGTCCTCTCTCCGTGTTCCGTAGGCTCTGCTGGGGATGGTGTGGTGTTCTCGTTGGCCGACGGTGTCCTCTCTCCGTGTTCCGTAGGCTCTGCTGGGGATGGTGTGGTGTTCTCGTTGGCCGACGGTGTCCTCTCTCCGTGTTCCGTAGGCTCTGCTGGGGATGGTGTGGTGTTCTCGTTGGCCGATGGTGTCCTCTCTCCGTGTTCCGTAGGCTCTGCTGGGGATGGTGTGGTGTTCTCAATGGCCGACGGTGTCCTTTCTCCGTGTTCCGTAGGCTCTGCTAGGGATGGTGTGGTGTTCTCATTGGCTGACGGTGTCCTTTCTCCGTGTTCTGTAGGCTCTGCTGGGGACGGTGTGGTGTTCTCAATGGCTGACGGTGTCTTTTCTCCATGTTCTGTAGGCCCTGCTGGGGATGGTGTGGTGTTCTCAATGGCTGACGGTGTCTTTTCTCCATGTTCTGTAGGCTCTGCTGGGGACGGTGTGGTGTTCTCATTGGCTGACGGTGTCCTTTCTCCATGTTCTGTAGGCTCTGCTGGGGATAGTGTGGTGTCCTCAATGGCTGACGGTGTCTTTTCTCCATGTTCTGTAGGCCCTGCTGGGGATGGTGTGGTGTTCTCAATGGCCGATGGTGTCCTTTCTCCGTGTTCCGTAGGCTCTGCTGGGGATGGTGTGGTGTTCTCAGTGGCCGACAGTGTCCTTTCTCTGTGTTCCGTAGGCTCTGCTGGGGATGGTGTGGTGTTCTCAATGGCCGACGGTGTCCTTTCTCTGTGTTCCGTAGGCTCTGCTGGGGATGGTGTGGTGTTCTCACTGGCCGACGGTGTCCTTTCTCCATGTTCTGTATGCTCTGCTGGGGATGGTGTGGTGTTCTCATTGGCCAGTGGGGTCCTTTCTCCATGTTCTGTATGCTCTACTGGGGATGATGTGGTGTTCTCAATGGCTGACGGGGTCCTTTCTCCGTGTTCTGTAGGCTCTACTGGGGATGGTGTGGTGTTCTCAATGGCTGATGGTGTCCTTTCTCCATGTTCTGTATGCTCTGCTGGGGATGGTGTGGTGATCTCATTGGCCAGTGGGGTCCTTTCTCCATGTTCTGTATGCTCTGCTGGGGATGGTGTGGTGATCTCATTGGCCAGTGGGGTCCTTTCTCCATGTTCTGTATGCTCTGTTTGGGATGGTGTGGTGTTCTTATTGGCTAGTGGGGTCCTTTCTCCATGTTCTGTAGGTTCCCCTGAGGAAGGTGTGGTCTTCTCATTGGCTGTCCTTTCTCCATGTTCTGTAGGGTTTGCTAGAGATTGTGTGATCTTCTCACTGGCTGATATAGTCTCTTGTGTGTTTTTTGTAGTTTTTATCAGGATCTTGTCTGAGGCAACTGTTGTTCTGTAATCTTCATTTTTTCCCGACTCTTCTGGGGTTCCTGTTGTGATTTTCTCAGAAGACGTGCTTTTTTGGTTGCTCTGTGAATCATCTGAATTGTGGAAGGAAGTTGCAGTCTTATATGAGGCAGTAGGTCTTCCAGAGTTACCTGATTTTGCTGTTACTGTTGATTTGCTTGATGAGAACTTAGGACAAGTTATTTTTCTCTTGGGTGCTGGGGTTATATGTTTTTTGTCAGATGATTCTTTATGAGTGGTAGTGGAGTCAGCAGAATCAACAGAGCGTTGGTTCCGGATCACTGGGTCTTTCCCTTGACTGCCAGAATTTTCTTCAGAAGTGGGAGGAGCCTCATGATTATCTGCAGAGCTTTTGTGGTCTGTAGTTTTGGAGTTGTCTATAGGCTTGTCAGTGGGCTTAGAATGGCGTGTGGTGTTGCAGTGATGTTTTCGTTCACGGACTTCTATAGATTTAGGGAAGTCTGGAGGTCTTTGTCCTGAATGCAGAACAACGTGATCAAAGGGGATACTGTAAACAAGGCCTGGAGTGAGGGGAAATGCATGATCAGATGTTGAGAGTTCACCAGTTTTCTGATATTCTTGGAGTGTAGTAGCACCTGTGGAGGGAGAGAGGCAAATAAGAAACTTCCCCCATGTTCTTCTCCAACTCCCTGCCTACCTCCTTCTCTTTGCTCCCCCTGATAAGACTCCCTAGCCAGTCTCCTCTGAATACTATGATATCTATTCCCCATTCTCACCTCCAGCCTCTGGGCTCAGGCTGTGCCTTCAACAAGCATGCCACGTCATCCACATCTCCTCAACTCTCCATCTCAGGGCCTTTTGGCTTTAGGGCATCTCTTCTGATCCCTCTAAGCAGACAAAACCCAGCTTCATTTCAGTGCTTAAAAAGGTCTTTAAGCCAGGCGTGTTGGCTCAAGCCTGTAATCCCAGCACTTTGGGAGGCCGACGCGGGTGGATCACGAGGTCAAGAGATCGAGACCATCCTGGTCAACATGGTGAAACCCCGTCTCTACTAAAAATACAAAAAATTAGCTGGGCATGGTGTTGCGTGCCTGTAGTCCCAGCTACTCAGGAGGCTGAGGCAGGAGAATTGCCTGATCCCAGGAGGCGGAGGTTGCGGTGAGCCGAGATCGCGCCATTGCACTCACTCCAGCCTGGGTAACAAGAGCAAAACTCCGTCTCAAAAAAAAAAGGTCTTTATTCTTCATTCTGTCCTGTGATCTTCAACTTCACATTACAGTTATTGGCATGCCTACCGACCTCCACACCCCGCCATGCCTACCCGATGTAAGGTTTTGAGAGCATGTGTGGACCAGCATTTTACTGTGCAGGTGCCCCTTTAGGGTCTGTATACTTACGGAATGAAATCTCCTTTCCATGACAGAGCTGAGAAGACTGAGAATAAACATTAGACTCTCCACCTTTCCATAACACTCTGACACCATGTCCCAAATGTAACAGTTTGAGAAATTGAGGTAAGACCTCTGGCAGAACTTCCCATAGGGAAGGTAGACACAGATTGTGAGTGAGAGATGTATAAGAAGAATGGAGAATGGGTAGAGGAAGGAGATGGGAAACTTTCATTTCAGTGATAAAGTTGGATGAGAAGAATGGATGAGATGACCCAACCCTATGGTCACCCCACTGGATCCCCCTCTTCACACATTTAAAGCCATCTGGGGATAGATGAAGGGGCCCATTTTGAAAGGAAAAGATCTCTGCTTGGGGGTCTTGACAGGAGTAAATGAGGCAACTAGATTGTGGGAGGGACTGACTATGTTTAAGGACAGGGTGTGAGAGAAAACACCCCTATCAGTGGACAGATACAGGCCTTAATTCCATGGAAAACAACCTGATGGGGACAAATGAGATATCTCTGATATCTAGCCAAAAAAGTAAAGGCCAAGAGATTGCCAAAGAGTGAAAGAGATAGTGTCGTTATGTAACTCTATTAGCTTAAGGCAGCGACCAAAACCTGGCCCTATTCCCAATTGCAAGAAACCACAGTCCACCTGCCTGCTGATGGGCAGAATCAGGACTTGGGGAGCTCAGTCCTTGAAATACGGGCAGGACAAGTAGGTGTGAGGGTAATAGAGAAGCCCAAGTCTCTGAAAGGAATTGAGAGTGAGGGGAAAGAAGGGGCGGAATGATCAGGCCTTCACTTCACTGTGCCAATCCCATTCCCTGATTTCCTTGGCAGCAATACCAGTAATAGCTATTGTTTACTGGACACCTTCCCCAGCCACAGCACATGGCTGGTGGCCTCACAACATTCTCTTTCTGGATTCTCTTCTATGGTAATTGATCTCCCAATGCTCCACAAGGCTCTTTAGAAGCGGTCAACTTCTCCTATTTTATATCTGATAAATTTACATTTCGTGGAGGAAAAGTGACCTGTCCAACAACAATAGCAATGGTCAGTCTTTCTGGATCTCTTCTATGAGACAGCCAGTTTCTACAAGTGAGGGCATACATTAACTTATTTACTTTTCATAAGAACCTGTTGAGGTTGGGAACTATTTCCTATTCTCCTAACTTTATAGATGAAGAAACAAGGTTCAGAGTGGTTGAGTAATCTTCTCAAGGACAACCAGCAAGTAAGAAGTTGTTGAGACAGAATCTGAACACATGTCCTGGGCACCTGGGCCCAGATTGTTGCTGGTTGAGACCACAGTGCACAGCCTATGGGTCAGCCCAGTCTTTTGAAGAAGGGACACTGACATGTGTGGACTCCCTGAAAGGTGCTTGTTTGTTTATTTAATCACATAATTATGAACCTGTGAAGTGAGGATTATGATCTTATGTTTACAGGTGGGGAAAGGAGATGCAAAGAGCTTAAGAAATTGGTGAAATTAGACTTTTCACTGTGCCTCAGATGGTTTTAAACATGATAAGGGACAAATGGCTATCCATTGAGTGAATAAATGAGCTGGCAGCAGTGAAAAGGGCAACTTCCACTGGACTTAAAGGATCAGAGGACAGGTTTGGCATCCAGGCTGGGTCCCTCAGCAGTTTTACATCCTTGCTGAGGTCATTTAAATGCTCAGAAGCTCCATGCCCTCAACTGTAAATAACCGTGATGCCGACTGCACCAGCTTAATATGCGGATTAAAGGAAGTGTGGTGCTGGAAGACTCTGGAGCACAGAAGCTCTTTAAGTGTTGAATCCACATTGTAGTCTCTGAAATAATCCCAACTGAATTTATCACACATCAGAAAGTGATGAGTTTTATCAACTTTTGTTAGACACAGAGTCTCACTATATTGGCCAGGCTGACCTCAAACTCTGGTCCTCAGTGATCCTCTCACCTCTGCTTCCTAAAGTATTAGGATTATAGGCATGAGCCCCTGCGCCTATTTTATTTGTTTTGTTCATCACTGTCTCCAGCCTAGAACAGTGTCTGGTCCATAGGAGGCACCTTGTAAATATTTATTGAATAATGAATGAAAGAATAAGACTGATGAAAACTCCTTAGAAGCCTTGCCATTAACATTTAATCATGCACATTAAGTAAAAACCAAATCTATCTGTGACCTCCACAGGCTGGGAGACCAAGGGTCAACTTCTGCAGTTAAGTAATTGAGCTCTGAAATGAAAAAATACTGAAAGAAGGCCTCTGGCTCACCGATTCCTGGATACCAGTTGTCACTAAACCAAAAGATCACAGTCAATAACTAGACTCAGATAGCTAGATTTTTAGAATTTTAGATCTGTATCAAACAGTTGTGGAACCATAGATTGTAAAAAGCTGTAGTAAAGCTCAAGGGATTCCTTGGTCCTGACCCGGCCATAAGGCAAGTCAGTGTAAATCCTCAGGACAAGAGGAGCATCTCTTCCCCAGGCAATCTACCTTTGGTAGTGACTTATTTCCCTAGGAAGTTTTCACCAGGAGATACTCATCCTGCTTAGAACCATCACAGCCTGAAAAGAACTGTTTTGGTCACTGAAGTATAGGCAGGGGTGTAGAGAAGAAAATCCAACTTTAGCACCAGACACTGAAAGTGGATGCTCAGCTGAGATAAAAGAATAAAAACAAATCCCACAACATCGAAACAATGCACAATGCCAAAGATCCCCGCCGTCTACCTAGTTCACTCATTGGAATGGGAGGACACTGGCTGGGCGCGGTGGCTCATGCCTGTAATCCCAGCACTTTGGGAGGCGGAGGCGGCTAGATCACCTCAGGTCAGGACTTCAAGAGCAACCTAGCCGACGTGGGGAAACCCTGTCCCTACTAAAAATACAAAAATTAGCCCGGTATGATGATGGGAGCCTATAATCCCAGCTACTCTATAGGCTGAGGCAGAATTGCTTGAACCCAGGAGGTGGAGGTTGCAGTGAGAGATGCTCTTTTGGGAAAGTGAGACTGTCTTAAAAAAAAAAAAAAAAAAAAGAAAGAAAGGAAGGAAAGGAGGAAGTAAAGGCAGGGGGAAGGAGGGAGGGAGGAAGGGAGGACATCTTGCTAAGCAATTCATGCCTTGGAGTCTCTGTCAGAGCACACTCTCCCGAAAGCGCATCTCTCGTGTTTCCTGGTATCCTCACCCCCATCAATGGCATGCTCTATTTGCAATAATATGGGTAAATGCTTGTTAAAATATCTATACAGGATGAGTTCAATAAGTTGCTTAAAACACAGACATAGAAAAAGAAAAGCCGGTGGGCACAGTAGCTCACGCCTATAATTACAGCACTTTGGGAGGCTGAGGCAGGAGGATCACCAGCCTGAGACCAGTCTGGGCAACATAGTGAGACCTATGTCTACAAAAAAAAAGAAAAGCCAAAGGGAGATATAATCAAATGATTGCCTGGGGACTAGGGCGTATACAGAGAGTTATTTTATTTTTCTAATTTTTTTCTATTTTCCAGTTTCTACAATGAGCATACATTATTTGTGTTATAGAAATTAAATCAAATAACGTTTGTTATAGAAAAATATTCTTATTAGAGTCTTCCAAGGACCCCAGCCCCAATTCCCATCTCCTGCCTCACCTGTGCTCCCTCAGCTGATTTAATCTGGACTGCACCTGTGCCTCCCTGTAATGACTTAATCTGGACTGTTGCTGTGCTGCCCTCGGATGATTTACTCTACATTGTACCTGTGGTTCGGTGACTGCATGATGCAGACTCTGGGGTCCCAGGATCTAGTTATCTGTCTGGGTATTGACTGGTCCTTTGGACAAATGTCAGGGCCCCCCAACCAGAATGGTGGACTAAAGGGCTTCATCCATTCCAGTTGTCCCTCTTCCGTTCCTGCCCTGGCCTCTCTCTCTGCTGGGCACAGCCATGCACCAGCCCTGATTCACACTCCAGTTCCACCGACCTCATCACAACCCGGGCCCAGCCTCGAGCCCTCCCCACCTGTCCCCCACTCACTCTTTAGAATCTGCAGAATGAAAGAGGCCAGATCCTCTTGTCCTCCCCACCCCCTCTCCATCCCGCCCAGCCACGCCCATCTCCTCTCCAAGACCACGCCCACATAGCCCCTTCGGAATCTCAGGAATTCAGATTTTCCGCACTGGAGCAAATCTCAGCACGATTGTGTATGCGGTGGATTCGCTTCTACCCCCTGCAGTTTCCTCTTCCCTAAATTGCAAGATAGAAGGAGAGAGCAGGAGGTGGACGATCCACCTGACGCGAAGGGAGGGCGAGATGGGACCGAGAGGCGGAAGGCGGCTCTTGTGCCTCTGTCTCCAGAACCTCAAGGTAAGGGAGACAGACAACGAGTCAGGGCACAGACAGGACACACTGCTGAGACCTTTCGGAGGCAGCTCAAAGACTCCTCAGCCCCCGCTGTTCACCACCCACCTGCCCCTGCCTCCACCCCCAACCGCAACTGACTGAGCTCAGGGAAGGGTCACTGCCTCTGTTATCACCCTCCGTGCACTCTACTGGAAGGAGGAGGTGCTGCCTGCCTGCCTGCCCCAGTACTGCTCAGAGACTTCCAGACTCACGACTGTCCCAGCCCTGGTTCCAGATCATCAGCGCCGTTACTGTGGATGGCTCTATCCTTGGATGACTGTCCAGTGGGTAGAGTGTCTCTGAATCTACTGTTGCACGTCTGCCTTGTGGAGACCCTCCACACTGCCCCGGTGTTCAGCATCTCTGCTCCCTGCGTTCAGTCCGTTTCTTAAGTGAACTAATTTCACAATATCATCTTATCTTTAGGGTCCGTTTTGTTCATGAAACTTGTCAATACTCATTTTCTCATCAAAGCCCTGAGATGTTTCCCAACTATAAGACAGGGACAGAGCCTTTGGCGCACAGCGTTCTGAGTCGCCATGTGTATTAAATGAGTAAACGTGGATAAAGTGCCTGGTGCCGTGTAAATGCTCTGTAGGCATCAGATATCGATACAGCCAGGCAGCAGTGTCCGACATATTTTAGAGATGGTGTGGAAGGCCAGACTAGGCAGATGGGTCAGAGACAGGACTGGAAACTAGGTCTGCACAAAACAGGGCTCCCAGAAGAGACCCTCCGCCAATCCCCCCCGGGCTGGGGCAGTGGAGGTGGAATCCCTGCTTACTTCCTCCTCTAGCTTCGAGATTTGGGGCAAAATCACTTGAGTCCAAACCTTCTCAACTATAAGATGGGTTATTATTAGCCACCTCAGGGGATGCTGAGATTAAATGAGATGAACCGCTAGTTCGGTGACTCATACCTGTAATCCCAGCACTTTGAGAGGCCAAAGCAAGTGGATCACTTGAGGCCAGGCATTTGAGACCAGCCTGAACAACATGGTGAAATTCTGTCTCTACTAAAAATATAAAAAAGGAGCCAGGTCTGGTGGTGGGTGCCTGTAATCCCAGTTACTCGGGAAGCTGAGGCTGGAGAATCACTTGAACCCAGGACACAGAGGCTACAGGGAGCTGAGATTGCGCCACTACACTCCAGCCTGGACAACAGAGTGAGATTCCATCTCAAAAAAAAAAGAAAAGAGAAATCACTATGAGCGGCTGTGAATTCCTTGCACTGAGCAGGAGCAGGTGCTCAATGAATGTCAGGTGCCCACCCCCAACCGCCCAGGCTGCCAGCCTCTACAATGTCTCTATGTGAACTTGAAGAAACCCCCTCTGTTTTAAAGAGCAGAGCACAGGCTGGAGTTCGTCTCCCACATGCTCCTTAGCCAGCAAAGTTGACCCGTGAGCACTCTAGACAACTGTCTGCAGCAGCCCCGTGCCCTCATTTCTGTTTGTTGTTCAACCTGTGAACACTAAGAAGCAAGCCATTTCTGTGACCCGTACCCTCTGTAGGCATCTTACCTGCCTCCCAAGCAGCGAGAAGGAAGAGGAGGCAGCACTGGAGGCCAAAGGCAGAGCAGAGGCTGTGGACCGGCTGAGCCATGTCAGAGCTGGGTGGCTGCTTGGGGACCATGGGCTGCAGACCCCTCACCTTATATGGAGCTAATCTTGACGTCATGGGGGCTGGGGCTCCTCAGGACTAAGTCTTAAACAAATGGAGCCGCCCCAACCCAAAGGGGAGCCCTGATAAGAGGAGACCACAGCTGCTGCGTCATGGAGCCAGGTACCTGGGTGCCTGCCAAGGGGTTGGCAGGGTATAGGAACCAGAAAGGGTCAGGCGCCTGAGCCAGCCCCAGCGAAGGGAAGTGGGGGGTGGCCTCCGGTGGCCTCCAGGCCTCTAGGGAGGTGGGGAGCAGATGGCTGGGTTCTAGAAGGATTAAGCTCTGGTTGGGGGTAGGACAGGGTGGGGTTCATGTTCTGATCTGTGTCCAGCTTCACGCGCACCCTCCTACCTCTCCCGCGTCAGCCCAGCTTCCACACCTCTTATTCACACATGGTCACTCTTTCCACCTTGGGCGGAGCTATCTACAAAGATCAGGTGAAAGAGCAAAGGCGAGAGAAAGCCCTCAAATGACCCTCGCTGCAGAGACAGGTGCTTCGTGATGCTCAGAGGTCATACAACAAGATGTGGAGAGTGCAGAGGTAGTGACAGAGACAACACACAGACCCACAGGGACAGATGTCACACCCCTCACCAGGGACACAGACAGGTCAGGCCACCCAGAGAGACTGAGGCTAAGATCTTTGGCCAAGAGATACTCGGCGCACAGGGGCTTCTGCCTTCACTCTACCCCTTCCCTCCCACCTCCTTCACTTCTATACAGAAATGCAGACATCTCATTTTTAGGAGCACCCAGAGCTCCCCCTGCCCTTCCTCAGTTCCTGCCTAAAGCAAGCATTAGCTCAGAGACTCATTTGTCTCCCCAGTGACAGTGCCAGGGGCAGGAGTAGGGGAGGACAGGCTCCCTGGGTCTCTAACACAGAGAAGTCATCATCCCTTTCTGCCCACTGTGGGTCTCCATCGATGAAAAGTAAGCACCTTGGATCCCTGCTGTGTCGTCAGAGCCTGGGACGGTGTCTGGCACACAGTAGGCAGTCAATAAATGTTTTCCTGCCTGGACGGAGTGGAAGCCAGGGCCGGAGGAGGCCTTTCTGAGGGAAGTGGGACAGGCAAAGGCCATAGAGAGGGCCAGGACCTGAGGGCAGGGGGCCAGACCCTTGGGACAGTTGGACTCATGAGAGAACTAGAGAACTGGACACGTGGGCTCCTCTCCTTACTTGGCGTGACTTGTCCCTGAGCCCTGGGCAGGGCTGGAATAGGTGGGAAGAGGAGAGGAAGCCAACTGCTTATTAATGTGATTAATGGCAGATTAATGAGACTCCATGGAGTCAGGCCAAAGACTGACTACTCAGAACCGGGCAGCCTGCCTCCCAGGCAATACATCCTACAGGATGGAGAAACTGAGGCAGAAACAGGCTGTCATCTGCAACTCCATCTGGACTCAGGGGAGACTGACAGTCCCCTTTTCACCGGTCTCCTTCCCCACCCTTTCCCAGGGACCCAAGCCTCTAAGACGGTGGTTCTGTACAGGGAGGAGCAATTTTGCCCCCACCAAGGAACGTTTGGCAATTTCTGGAGACATTTTTTTAAATTGCATTTTAGGTTTTGGGGTACATGTGAAGAACATGCAAGATTGTTGCATAGGTACACACATGGCAGCGTGATTTGCTGCCTTCCTCCCCTTCACCTATATCTGGCATTTCTCCCCATGCTATCTCTCCCCCACTCATCACCCCCCGCTGTCCCTCCCCTATTTCCCCCCAACAGACGCCAGTGTGTGATGCTCCCCTTCCTGTGTCCATGTGTTCTCATTGTTCAGCATCCGCCTATGAGTGAGAACATGCAGTGTCTGATTTTCTGTTCTTGTGTCAGTTTGCTGAGAATGATGGTTTCCAGGTTCATCCATGTCCCTACAAAGGACACGAACTCATCATTTTTTATGGCTGCATAATATTCCATGGTGTATATGTGCCACATTTTCCCTGTCCAGTCTATCATCAGTGGGTATTTGGGTTGGTTCTAAGTCTTTGCTATTGTAAACTGTGTTGCAATGAACATTCGTATGCATGTGTCCTTATAGTAGAATGATTTATAATCCTTTGGGTATATATCCAGTAATGGGATTGCTGGGTCAAATGGAATTTCTATTTCTAGGTCCTTGAGGAATCGCCACACTGTCTTCCACAATGGTTGAACTAATTTACACTCCCACCAACAGTGTAAAGGTGTTCCTATTTCTCCACATCCTCTCCAGCATCTGTTGTCTTCTGGAGACATTTTTTTTTTTTTTTTTTTGAGACGGAGTTTCGCTCTTGTTACCCAGGCTGGAGTGCAATGGCGCGATCTTGGCTCACCGCAACCTCCGCCTCCTGGGTTCAAGCAATTCTCCTGCCCCAGCCTCCTGAGTAGCTGGGATTACAGGCACGCACCACCATGCCCAGCTAATTTTTTGTATTTTTAGTAGAGACGGGGTTTCACCATGTTGACCAGGATGGTCTCGATCTCTCGACCTTGTGATCCACCCGCCTCGGCCTCCCAAAGTGCTGGGATTACAGGCTTGAGCCACCGCGCCCAGCCGAGACATTTTAATCACAATTTAGAGTGGGGTGTTCCTGGCATCTAGGGGGTAGAGGCCAGAGTTGCTGTAGAACATCCAATAATTCCCGGAGCAGTCTCCACAACAAAGAAACATCTAGCCCAGGACACCAATTGTGCTGAAGCTGAGGATCTCTGCTTCAGAATAAGCATTAATCAGCGTTTGTGAATGAATAACCCCTTCCCTTCTCTCTTAGCTACAACTCCACCCCAAGGACCCAGGGTCTGGGCTGGAGAAACCAGGAGGTGGGTGGAGGCCCCAAACAGTCTCTTACAGTAAGTCTATGCTATTTCGTCTGAGCTGGAGGCTGAGAGGCTGGTCACAAAACAGCCCCGCCAACTACCAATGTTTGGGCATTTCTATGTACCGAAGAATGTACTAAGCACTCACCTATGAGTTATCACCTGTCACCCTCGCTTTACAGATGAGGACAAATGAGCCTCGGATCAGGAAATGACTTGCCATGGTAGGTGACAGAGACCAGACTCAGCCCTTCTGGGCCTGCGTGACACAAAAGCCCATGCACTTGGGCAAACCCACAGCATCTGGTAGACAAGTAGAGGAAGTGCCATTTTATTTAGAATAACTGTGTTCGCCACCCTCCCAGAGCAGACTGAGGGGACACCACGGAGGAGGGTTCTCGGGGGCTCAAGAGCCAGCCTGAGGGGCTTCCTATGGGGGGAGGTGAGAAGGGGAGTGGGGAGCAGACTGTCTTCAGCTAAGGAGCTTCTCAGATGTCGGGAAGGAGGGTGGGACTGGGAAGAAAGGGTGAGGGTCGGGGGTTGCAGCCGTCCAGACCCAGGCTCCATGAGGGCTGGAAGGTGCCTACAGGCCACCTAGCCCTGGTCCTTCCTCCCACAGGTGAGAAAGCTGCCCTCGGAGAAGTTAGGCACCTTCCCACAGTCCACAGCACTGCTGACAGGACAGAGAGCAGAATCTTGTGACTGACAGTGGACTCCCCCTTACACTGTTGGTGAAAGAGACCCAGGGGGGCCAGTGACCCCAGGAATCTACCTGCAGGAAATGGTCCCAGCTAGGGTGAAAAGGATAGGGGAGTCTGAGATGATGTGGGAGAGGAAGGAGGAAGGCCAAAGGGTAGGCGCTCAGCTGCCCCGGCCCCGCCTTTCATTTAACAGAGTAGCGCTGGCTGGCAGCGGCCCCCCTCTGGTGGTGGCGGCAGCTGTCAGGGGTCACGAAGCCACAGCCACCCCCCAGATTCATCTCCCTCCGGAATTGGCAGGCCTGTGAGAGAAGGGATGGGTACGATGGGTTAACCGAGGGGCCCGGGAACCTGCTGCCCAACGCAGCTCTCCCTGTGAACCACTGCTTCCCCTGGACAGCCCAGGCACTCAGCGTTGCTCTTTAAGCAAAAACAGCCAGTAATAATAAATAAGGCTGTACATTGAGCACTTACTATAATACATGCCAAGCACCATTAGTGCTCTCTCTGCATAAGCTTATTTGATCCTCCCAACCACCCTTTGAGATGGATGCCATCATTCTCATTTTCTCCAGGACTCAATTAGCTCATCTGTAAAATGAGGAGTCATATTTCCTATATCACTGAGTTGCTGTGAACTAAAATATGTACAGGACCTAGCACATAATCAGTGTGATTTAAGTATTATTATTAATGAAGAATCTGGAGCACAGAGAGGTCAAGTATCTTGAACAGGGATTCAAACCCGAGTGAATGTGGCTCCACAGAACTGGTCCTTCATCGCCTAGAGCTGAGTGAGTGCTTCCACACACCCCGGTCAGTTTCCAGCATTCCCCCGTCTCCTTCAGTGGCCCCAACACCCCATCCCTGCCCAGCCAGTGTTTCTCTCAGCCACTCGGACCAGGACTCCCTTCCCCCTCTCCACAACAAGCCCTGCAAGCTGTCATCCCCTCCCCAAAGCCCTGTTCTCCTCTGAGTCCTAGGGCACCAGGTTCCCAACCCCACTGGCATAGGGGACCCACACATTTGGACCACAGCGTTGCTCACCTTCTTGATACCATACATTAGGCTGATAATTGCTGCCACCAAAGTGAGAGTAACCAACACGATGGCCCAGTCCGGGACAGAGTCCTTCTGGGACTTTGGACCTGGGGCACAAAGAGAGGGCCGACTGAGGCCGGTGGTGCCTCCAGACCCCCAGATCCCCACTGCCCTCTGACTTCCCATCTTTCTTCCTGCAACTGTGATGTCTCTGACTCTGAGACCCCATCTCTCTGTGGCGTTTTCTCCTATCACCTTGGGAGCAGAATCTCAGCAGGGATGGGGGTGGGGAGTTAAAGGGCTTCAATTCAAGTCCCAGTTGCCGCTTCCCTATGGACATGTCTGTCGGTCCTAGACTCATCACTGACGTCCACACCTCACTTCTCAGTCCCTTTTATCTGCATC